ATTTAAAATTTAAAATTTAAAATTTAAAATCTAAAATTTAAAATCTAAAATCTAAAATTTAAAATTTAAAATTCAAAATTTAAAATTTGAAATATAAAATTTGAAACTTAAAATTTAAAATTTAGAATTTAGAATTTAGAATTTAAATTTAGAATTCATAATTTTGAATTTTAAATATATAATTTAAAATATATAATTTAAAATTTAAATTTTTAAATTTTTGTTTTTATATTTTAAATTTTAAATTTTATTTTTTATTCTTAAATCTTATCTTTTAAATTTTGAATTTGAAATTTGAATTTTTTTAGTTTTAGTTTAATTTTTAGTTTAAAATTTTTAATTTTAGTTTTTATTTTTAAATTTTCAGTTTTAAATTTATAAGACTAATTTCTTTGTTATACCATAGAAGGAATCTATCTAATTTGATTTTGATACGTAAAATTCAAATTTTGAATTTGCAATTTTTTTGTGTGTAATGGAATTCAAAATATGTACTCAAAGATTTGGAATATAAATTCATTTATATATCCACAAATTTTTTTGCTACCAAATAACAAAATCAAAATTTGCAAGTCTAATTTCATGACTTAAATCCCGTGTAAAAAGGAAGTGTTAAACGAAGTAATGTAGCAAAGTTAAAGAATTAGGGGGCAATTGAAGATGGTCTTAGGCATTGCACCAACCTGTCCATAGCCATGCGAAAAAAGAAGAAGATTAAAACCAAGTTGAGAAATTTGAATTAAAATGGGCATCTTTAATCTTTATCCACCAAAATGGGAAAGAGGGGTTTAATAGAACAAGGCAGATGAGACCTTTTTACACACTCCTGTTCTATCAGGACTCTTCTCTTTGATGTAATCGAGTCCCCGCTGGTTGCTTCCTTCACAAGGCCCCTCCTTTTATGATTCCTCGTAAATTGCAAGAAAAAAAAGAAGAAAAGAAAGAATAAATAGCTTCTCCATTGTTCTTTGTTCATCCCAAACCCAGAAAACCAAGTAATCGCAGACCCCATTGATACTATAAACGATATACTATATGCCCAATCGCGAGTAATTATCTGTTTCTCACAGTACATACTGTATATGTGCATTCATCTGTGCAATTATTTAAAAAAAGGTGTTTTTAGACTGTATTTCTTGTTTTGTGGACCTGACCCGATTTCAGTTTCGCCTTTTCTGTGCAGATTTTGTTTCTGACTGCAGCAGGGTTTCATTGATTGGCTGCGTTTGGGTTTTCGAGAACTGGGTTTGGCGGCGGCGACTGTAAAGTTGCTATTTTTCCGGGGGACTATTTCAGAAGGCTGCTAGTAATCCGAGCTTTGAAGGCGGGTCGGGTCGTTTGAGGATCGGTGGGTTGTTAAAGACCGCTTTGGGGGGTTTGGTGGGTTTCTATCCGCAGATTTAGAAGTGTGGGTTCTTTTTCTGTGTGCGCACTAGATCTTTCATGGATTTGCTGAGTTTTGGGTTGTTTTAGATTATTTGAGTGGTGGGTGTGTTCTGATTCATCTTGCACAGTGGCTTAGAACCCAGAAATCGTCCATTTTAGGTTTAAGAAGAGTTGACACTTTTGTGGTGGTGAAATTGATCTTCTCTTTAAAGAGTCTTGCCGGTTGGTTTCGCATATTCAGGGGAAGAAGATGATGAGCTCAAATGTTTCTTCTGGTGCAGTTCTGAACGGAAAGCTTTTAGTTCACATTGCGGAGAATGGGCAATCATATGAACTTAACTGCAATGAGTATTCCCTTGTTGAAAATGTGCAGCAAACCCTAGAATCAGTTTCAGGAATCCCACCAAATGATCAGCTCCTCTTGTGTGGGGATGTGAAACTAGAACCGCGAAGCCCACTCTCAGCCTACAAGCTCCCATCGGATGACCAGGAGGTGTTCTTGTTCAACAAATCAAGAATGCGGACGAATGCGCCCCCACCCGCACCAGAGCAAGTGGATTTATCCGATATACCCGACCCGCCTATGCCGACCCAAAACCATGACCCGCACCCATTGGACGATGCTTCGGACCCCGCCTTAAAGGCTTTGCCTTCTTACGAGAGGCAGTTCCGGTACCACTTCCATTGCGGAAATGCCATTTACTTACTTTCACAAGTGAAGTTTGATGCCTGTGAGAGGCTCTTGAAAGCCCAAAAGGTTCAAGAGAGAGCCACAGGGATTGCTAGGGGCAATCTTGACCATTTCTACGGGATGATTCTGCAGAACTATGGAGATTTTTTGAAATGTTACTCGCAGCAGCATCGGGCCCACTCTGATCTGATAGCGAATTTTGGGAGGGATGTAGAGAGGTTAAGGTCTTGCAAACTCCACCCGTCCTTAGAAGCCTCCAACAAAAAGTGTTTGCTGGACTTCGTGAAGGAGGAGAATTTGCAGAAACTGGTTGAGGATTGTAATGGTTCCCACCAGCAGTTTGAGAATAAGGTTTTGGAATTCAAGCAAGAGTTCCGGGAGTTAGAACACCATGCTGAGCAGTTACTATCAAGCAAGGCTTCTGTTATCACTAGGGATCTTGAACAGGCGATTAGAGAGCATCAGAAGTATGTTAATGAGCAAAAGAGCATAATGCAGGCTTTGAGGTTCTTTCTAGTCTCTCTATCTTTGTATGATAGTTGTGTTATATTCCATTTATATAATACTCCATCTGTCCCTAAAAGAAGATATGGTTTGTTTTTTCATGGAGTTTAAGATAAAGTGAACTTGTCTCTTGGAAGTTTATGCAGGGAAGAGAGAAATAATATGAACCCCTCATTTCTTTCCCTAAATGGAATTATTACTTCTTCTTGAGACATCTGAAAAAGGAAAACACGAAGTTCTTTTAGGGACAAATGCACATTTTCATCATATAATATACAAGTGATTTTTTTTGCACAGTAGAATCAATAGCATCTTTCATTCGTAGTTGGTTCTTCAGGCTATTCAAGTTTGATTACTCATAAAACAGTGTTTCTATCTCACCCATTCGTTGCTGCACATTGTGCTGAAATTTTGAGCCATGTTAATAGATGCATATGTCCATGACACGATAACAACTTAAAACAGTCAAGAACAGCATGATTTTCTTATGGAGTATTCCGAGAAATTCATTTAAATACTAGCATTATTTTATGCACATAGGTCATATAGTCCTCATTAGTTAGTAATTAAATACTAAAGAGTAATATACTAATATGGTCACATGACTAGGTACAAAAGAAATACCGTATGTGAGAATTACCTGATTTCCTACACTATTCCTCTCTTCGGATGCCCTTTAGAGAAATATATTTCTGGTGCACCATGGCCCTGGATGTTTGTGGACTATGGTGTTGGGGATAGGAAGTTTATGTCATTCTCATATTAAATTTATTAGAGATATATAATTTCCACACGATACTTTGAGTAATATACTATATATGCTATATGAGCATCCTCACAAAGCCCACTACGATCCCAACTCTAAAATTAAACTGATACCTACAAATTCATTGCCATGCAGTAAAGACGTGAACATGGTAAAAAAGCTTGTTGATGATTGCCTTACTGGCCAGCTATCATCCTCACTCCGTCCCCATGATGCAGTTTCTGCCTTGGGCCCCATGTATGAATCCCATGAGAAAAGTTATCTTCCCAAGATGCAATCTTGTGATAGATCAATTACTGGCTTGCTTGATTTCTGCAAGGACAAAAAGAATGAAATGAACACGTTCGTCCACAACTATATGCAAAAGATAGCATATATCCAGTTCATGATAAAGGATGTCCGTTGCAAATTTTCTGTTTTCCAGGAAGCTTTAAAGCGTCAAAGTGATCTTTTTGAACACTTAAAAATTGTCCGGGGAATCGGGCCAGCATATAGAGCTTGCCTTGCAGAAGTGGTTAGAAGGAAGGCTTCAATGAAGCTTTACATGGGCATGGCGGGACAGTTGGCCGAAAGGCTTGCCGCCAAGAGGGAAGCAGAGGTTTCTAGAAGGGAGGAGTTTTTGAGAGTTCACAGTCCATACATACCAAGGGATGTTTTGGCTTGTATGGGATTGTTTGATACTCCTAGCCAGTGTGACGTAAATATGACCCCTTTTGATACCAAGTTGCTCGACATTGATATCCCAGAGCTTGACCATTATGCCCCTGAGTATTTGTTGGGACTCTCACACAGAGGCAAGGTTGATGATTGTGGTTTTGAACTTCCCGAGAAGATTGATTCGGTTGAGTTTCTCGATATTGTTGGAACAAGCAAGATGGAGGTTGAAAATGCAAAACTAAGAGCAGAACTTGCTTCTAAGATAGCCTTGATCTGTTCGATTAGCCCTGAAGTTGGTTATGAATCTTTTGATGATGAGGGTAAAATGGACCGCCTGCTACAGGACGTTCGAGAGAAAACATCTGAAGCCATACGTTTGAAAGAAGAGCACGAGAACCATCTTAAATCCATGCTGAAGATGAAGCAAATGCAGTGTGAATCATATGAAAAACGGATTCAGGAGTTAGAGCAACGTTTGTCTGAGCATTATATGCCTAGCCATAAAGGTTCTGTGGGCGAGGGCGTATCAAACCTTACCACTTCATGTGCCTCTAGTTCATTGGAAGATAAAACAGGGAATCTTTCTAAACAGGGAAAGACACAAGAAGTGTTATATGATAACATGACCGATTCTTCTAGTACGGTTAACCCTCAATTGGATTCATCTATGGTAGATCCTCACCGCTATGAAGAGCACGACCAGTTTTGTGACAAGGAGGTAAACGAGACATTATCAAGCTCTATGGTTCTGAGCGTGTCTCGGCCTGTGAGTGCTTCATTACCTTCTGAACCAGCTGCTAGTCCTGCTTTTTGTTCAAGACTAAGTGAAGATGTTGTTATTGAGTTGCAAAAAGCACTTAGTGAAAAAACAAGCCAACTGAATGAAGCAGAAAATGAAATCAAAAGGCTGAGGAATGAGGTTGAAAAGTTAAATGGGGATTTGGAGAACAAAAGGAAGCTCCTTGATGAATCACAGGTATTTTGTTGACTAAACTACAGTTGTTTTCTTAATATAAAGGACACATATTATATAGTCAAACTGTATGGACTCTACACAGAGAACTAGAAATTTTGCACTGATTTGTCTCTTGGAAATAGTCTCTCTACTTCCGTGGGATTTTACTCGGCAACAACAAACCCAGTAAAAAAAACCGACATTAGATTTTTTTGGTAAAGTGCAAAATTTCTACTTCCGTGGGATTTTACTCTAATGTCGGTTTTGGAGGCCTATGTGTATATGTTGATATACATACTCCGTAGTATATAATTACGTATACACTGTGTGAATGACATTTCATAAAAGTTAAAGAAATAACACAATTGGCAATCATATAACATTCTAATCACACTTTCATTGATTTTATAAACGTTTTATTTTTCAAGATTGGGGCAAGGTCTGCCAACCCCCCCCCCCCCAAATACCCTGCTCTCGTGGGATTCAATTGGCTTGTTGTTGTATATTTTTCAAAATGTAGACTATGCCCTCCAATGTCCTCCCTTCCTTAGCTAGAGTTGGAATCCTTTCTTTGTGTGGCGTCATTTTAGTCAACTGTGCTACCATTCATATTCGTTAGTATTTAAGTTTGGTATGCTTTACTTTTGAAGTTTTTTATAGCAGGATATGATTGTTAGGGAAATTTTTATGGCATACCAAAATAGATTGTCCCCCTAACACCAACCATTTCCAGAAGAAAAAAAGAATAGAGAAGTGTGCAAACACAAACAAGAAATTTATAGTGTTTAGTATTAAAAGGATGTGTTTTATTTATTTCTTTATCACATACCACATCGCATTGAGATAGAATTTTGTATTACTCCCTCTGTCTTGGAAAGATCTTCCCAAATGCCCTTTTTTTGACCGAGAAAGATCTTCCGGTACCTTTTTTAACATTTGAAATGCCACAACTACCCTCACTTTATTTATTACACCTCACCCAATATTCCACCTACTTTCATTAAGGGCAATTTGGTAAAAGTTCACTTTTTTCAACTCTCCTTAAAAACCGTAAAAGGTCCACTTGAGAAGTTCTTTCCCGGACGGAGGGAGTATAATTTTGTATAGAAGATAAAACGAAATAAGAACCATTTACGGAGTACTATTCTTCTTTCCTTTAATAATAAAATTAATGCCCTCGTGGCTCAACAATTTTCATTTTTTTGTGACACGGAGTTTATCAGATCGCTCTTCACTGAAATACTCTAAGTATGTTCTACAATCTGATACAGATGAATTGTGCTCACTTGGAGAACTGTCTTCATGAAGCAAGAGAGGAAGCTCAAACCCATCTTTGTGCAGCCGAAAGGAGGGCCTCAGAGTACAGCACACTGCGTTCTTCTGCAGTTAAAATGCGTGGCCTCTTTGAGAGGTTGAGAGCTTGCATTTTATCAGGTGGCACTGCTGGTTTTGCCGAGTCTCTACGTGCTTTGTCTCAGTCTTTAGCAAAGTGAGTTCGCTTTCTTGTTTTAACCTTTTTTTTTTCCTCCCCTCAGGCACGGGGGAGATTCTCACCCATAAATTTCCCTGCCACTACATGTTTGATTCTGGACAAAAATATAAAATGCCTTTTTTCCCCGAGCTATAAATGCATTTTTTTTCAAAAAATCAGTTCAATCAATGAAAAGGAGGAAGACAGTACTGCTGAGTTCAGAGAATGTGTTCGGGTGCTCGCTGAGAAAGTTGGTGCTTTGTCAAAGAGTCGCTCGGAACTACAGGAAAGGTGTTCAAATGCAGAAACTTCTAATAAGCTTCTAATGGCAGAATGCGAAGAGAAGACAGAGTTGGTTAACACCCTCTATAAGAAACACCAACTTGAGAAACAGGTACCATATCTCATAAGTTTTTCCGCTTGTGGTAAACAGATTTATAATGTAGATCCTACCCCCTAACCTAGAGCTGGCAAATCGGTCGGTCAGGTCGGGTTCGGGTTCGGTCACTTCGAGTTTGGGTTATTTCGGGCTCGGGTCATTTCGGGTTCGGGTTGAGAACTGTATGTTCATGACCCATTGTCATCGGGTTCGGGTGGACCTAACAGTTTATGACTTTGGCTTTTTAAATTTTTAAATTAACATTAACACTTACATTTTTTATTTAAATAAATTTAAAATATCAAAATAAATGTATTAAATATGTTAGATTATTTTATTTTAAATTCTGAAGTAATTTTTAGATTTATAAATCAATATAAGGAATTTAAAAAATGCTTAAACTTTTGTCCGAAAATATAAATTTATACACTAAAATGAGGAGTAAAGTGTATGATTTTAAAAAAATTCTTACTTTAGCGGGTCGGTCAGGTCAGGTTCGGTCAGGTTTGACCCATTTTTAGCGGGTCATTTCGGGTTCGGTCAACCTCGGGTTCGGTCATCAAAACCTTTGCTCAAAACCCAATGTTTTCAAGTCGGGTTTCGGGTCAAAAACAGGTCGGGTCATTTTTTGCCAGGTCTACCCTAACCCCTTTGGATTTTCGGTGGTCGGGAAGAGTGGGGCTGGGGGCTTATGGGGGAGGACGGGCCTCAGCCTCTGACACCCATAATCAGTGTCAAAAGAATTTTTGTGTCAGAATATAGTTAATCTAGTGTCATTACAAGTTTATTCTGTTGTTTTTTTTAACAGGCAAAGGAAGAGAGGATATCGTTTTCTCGGGTAGAAGTGAATGGAATTGCAGCATTCGTGCTGAAGCCAGACGGCGGATACTACGAGGCGATCAACCGGCACTGCCCGCGCTACTACCTCTCTGCCGAGTCCACGGCTTTACTCACCGCCCATCTCCGGACCCGCCCGAGCTACATTGTCGGGCAGGTCGTGCATGTAGAACGGCACATCGTCTCGGCTCAAGTGGGCCGCGAGCTGCTGAATTCCGATGGGTCGGCGGCCTCGATCCCTTACGATCTCCCGGTTGGCTGTGAGTACTTCACAGTAACCGCGACCATGTTGCCGGAAACCGCCACCACTGGTACTCATTCCCTACCCCCTTCCTCATAGAGCTCTCTCTATCCCTTATTAGCTGTGTACATGATGACGACGATATGTGTGTATGTGCGCACGCGCGAAAGAATCCCCCCCTCCCCCCCATGATGAGGGGATTCTTAGCCTCTGCAGATTTGATCTTCCCCTCCTATGTGTGTACAGTTTCCCTGGTAAAACTTTGATGGAAGCATGCTGTAAATACCCCTCTCCCCCCTCTTTTGTGAAAAGTAAAAAAAAAAACTCTGAATTGAATATTTTTACCCTTTGGTCTCTCTGCTTTATGCTCATGAATGAATGAATATCCATCCCCTGAATTGAATAATGTTTTTACCCTTTGAACATAAGGGTCACTTTGACTCTATCGGGGCCCGTTTTGCGAGCGTAGGAGATATGAGTTCTGACATCCCTTTTGCGGGTGTTTGGTTAGGGCCAACGCGATTCGGACAATTGCGTGTTTTTCATGGGCAATTTGGTATAACCAAAACTGATATTGAAATCCCACCAGACAATGAATGCAGTAGAGAACCATTCATTGATATTGATTATGACTGCCCAATATCTAGTCTCTTTTGGGCATTACCAAAGTATATGCCTGTAAAATAAGTCCCAATATGGACACTTTCACCAAACTTTGCAAAGTCAAAACAACTAAGTTTATTCTGGGGAGGAGGCCAGGGAGTATAATGAAAAAAAATCATAAATTCTATATTATGTACACATTCCAAAACACAAAGTTTATCAACACATTCTTAGTGCATGAGATTTGTTAGCCAGCAGGACTTCAAGGGATTTGGCTTTCCTGTTTCTAACTCTTCCTGCTTCTTTCAACAACTCTGCCAGCCTTCTCTTCTCGTCGTCTACGTCCGGGTTCGCCGTTCCGAGCTTGTCCTCCCTCGTTCCCACCACAAACTCCAAGATTTCTATTGCATCATTTGTCCTAGAATTGATCAAACACACCACCAATAAGCAATGTTTACATTCATATTTGAGAAAAAAAGGAATGGTCAATAGACAGTTAAACTGGGACAGAAACAAAGAGTGGCATTACTTGTAAGTACCTTCCCATGGCATCGTAAGTCGCAGCCAGATTGCTGTAGACTCCCAACGTGTCGGCGTGGAAAGGACCGTATTCGGCTTCGAAGATGCTTCTTGCTTCTTCAAACAAGTCCGCAGCCTCGTTTATCGCGTAGAGTTGAACACATGCAAGCCCCATTTGGTTGAGGGCAATGCCCAAAAGAGCCAACTTTTTTTCTCCCCCTCCGATTGCACGAAACTTGTCGATAGCGTTCTTCATGTGGTTGTATGAACTTGAGTAGTCGCCTAGAATGTAATACAAAACTCCAATCTGAGCTTCAACTCCTGCAATGGCGTGGCTATGGTTATGTGGTACATTCATGTACGCTTCGTTGACCTTGTGGAGCAGGTCGAGTGCTCGTTTGGGTTCGCCCATGGACTCGTATATTGCGGACAAATCGGCCAAACCACTCGCAATCACTTCGGGTTGGGCTTTTGGGAGAACCCGGAGAGCGTTCTCGCAGTAATATCTAGACTCCTTAAATTTTCCTACCCTGTGGTACAAATCAGCCAGGGGGACGTATACCGAGGCAACCGATGGATGGTTCTCGCCTTTAAGAGACTTTAACATAGTAAGAGCTTTTACATAAGAATAAATGGCCTCATTGTATCTCCCTTGAGAGAGATATGAATCCCCAATGCTACACTCTATAGCAGCTGCCTCAGCTTCCTGGCCGTGGACCCCAGCCACGGCCAGGCTTGCTAAGACATACTGCTCAATCGCAACATCATAGTCTCCCTTGGAGTGAAGAATCAAACCGAGGAGTCTCCTATCGGCTGCCCCTTCGCAAGGGTTGTCGTCGCGTCCACGGATCTCAAGGGCCATTCGGCACATCCTCTCTGCTTCATCGAACTGCATTGCTTGTACGTGTGCTTCCGCTACGTACCGGCACGTCCCTCCGAGCCTCGGGTCGTTTTCCCCCAGCACTTGCCGCTGGATCTCAAGCCCCGCAGCGTAGAACGCGACCGACTTCTCCATCTCCCCCAGCGTTGCGTATGTGTCTCCCAATTGCATGCACCCTGCGAACTTGGCGATGGCGTGGCTCGGGCCTTTATCCATCTCCGGGATCTCAATCGACCGCTCCAGAACCCGAACCGATTCCCCGAACCGTCCTAACCGACAGTACAATGCCGCGACGACGTGCATGCACATGACAATGTCCAAACTCTTGGACTTGTAGTAGTCCTTTGAAGAATGAGAGTGTTGTTGTTCTTCTTCTTCTTCGAAGGACTTCAAGGCTCGAAGCGCCAAATCAAGAGCCTTTTCGTGGTTGTCTCCTGATTGGGAAATCAAAGATCTTGCCTGTTTGAGCAGATGGGAACCAACAAGGTTGTCATTTGACAAGGAGGAAGAAGAACAGGGGGGCTTTCTTGATGAACTCGTCTTCTTGTTTCTGGGCTTCCGTTTGCCGGACACCACTACCCCGTCCATCTTCGCCGGAGAGCGACGAAGGGTTTTCCGATCCGCGCATGATGATGTTTCTTGCTCCGGCTCTCCGTAATCTGCGCCGGCGAGGAACCGGAGCTCGGAGTCGATTCTTGATTCGTCGTCGTCGTCAGAGGAGGAGGAGAGGAAGCTGCCCATGAGCTCGGACGGCGACTGGCCGGAGATGTGCATGTCGTAGAGGTTGGTATAGAGCTGCTCGATGGAGGTGGCGATGAGGCCGTCCATGGCGAAGTCTATGGAATCGGTTTCTCTGCTGCTATTCACATCAGATGCCGCCCCCGCCGCCATTATAAATCTTCTTCTTCTTCTTCTTCTTCTTCTTCTTCTTCTTCTTCTTCTCCAATCTGTTTATGTTTTCATGATAGATAATATAAGTTTGGTGATCAATTGCTTTAGTAGTTTGCTTTACGCATTAGTAATGCTTCGTTAGTTCAAAGCCTATACAAATATAGAAATGAGATATTTCGTTAAGGTAACTGGTTTCTTACATGTTTCTCCTCAAATCTAATTTCATATATTTTTGTATGTAACTTAGTTTTTGAATCTATACTTTTTATTTTTAAATTTTTTCACATCAGCTTTTTATAAAATGAATTACAAATAACTTTAGTCCAATATCACAATAATAAAAAACTTTTTACTTTCTTTTTTGTCCATGCCAAAACGTCCTTTTTAAGGAAAAGAGTTCTAAGTTTTTGTTTTAGAATTTTTTTGTTTTACTTTCCAATATTTTTCTTGAGCTCTGTAAAAATTAAATTGAGATTTTTTATGAGATGGAGGGATATATGGTTCGATTGCATATCGGTTTAGATAGCTATTAGTTTAGACATATTTTGATTGGGTAATTTATTATACAAATAAGACATACACATATCGATCACTTTTTTGTAAATAAGACTAGTCCTATGATCCTATTTACTCTAATTTTTGATAATAGAAAGTTCTAAAATTTCATGCATTTGAACAAAATGACATACTCCCTCCGTTCCACAATATTTGTCACTTGCTTTTTCAGCAGTCGCGGAAATTTTTGTTTATTTATACGTTTTCATTGGTTATTTGATAAAATAAAACATTTTTGACACCTCTTATTTCGAAGAATTTTTCATATAGTTTTTTGATATATAAATTTTATTTTTTATTTCTATATCAATATGTAAATGAAATTATTTGAAAAAGCTTGATACTCCGTATTTTATATCGGAATACAAGTGGCAAATATTTAGGGAGGAAGGGAGTATTACATAGTTCAAGAAGAATAAGACATTATTAAAAAAAATTGATGAATAGCCATTGAAATAAGAGAAAAAAGACTAAAGTAAGAGTAAACATTGAAAATATATACCAAAATAGGATTTCTATGTTTTTATCTCTGAAATAGGAGTTAAAATGCATTTACATTACCAAATATGGTCATGCATATTACCAAAAAGTATAATAATGTACACGTGTACAATGTCATATTATCACAGTACGGACTCCTATTTCGAGAATAAAAACTTGGAAGTCTTATTTTGATACTTTTTCTACTTTATCCGTCCATTTTTAATGTTTCCAGTTTGATGGGGCATGCATATTAATAAGTGATAAAAATTTCATTGATTTTCCTATTATACCCCTACGCCTTAACATCTTTGTATCCAAGATAGACTTTGACGCCAATAGGCACTAGGAGGATTTGTAGATCTATAGAATCAATGACAGCTATATTGGAAGAGGAGCAGATTTGACCGTCGCATCACCTCCGACCACCACCTCACTGCTCCGCCTTTCTCCTCAGCTATCTACGGAAGGAAGTCAAAAGAGAAAGAGAGAGCCGCCGAGCCCACAGGTTTGAGAAATGAGGGGCACGGCTAGACCGGGGGACGGCCAACTGCCAATTATCTACTCCCTCCGTTCCATAAAACCTTTCTCCTTTCTTTTTTCATCCGTCCCACAAAACACTTCTCATTTCTATTAAAAAATTACTTTTACTCTTTATTTTTTCATATCCTACCTATCACATCATACCTTTTTACTAATAATCTATCCATCAAATCATACTTTTACCCATCACATCAAAGGACATTTTTGGAAATTCAATACCAAAATACACTACCCTTAAATCACTCCTAAAAAACAAAAGTCTCATGTTTCACGGGACGGAGGGAATACTTTTTTAGTCAAATACGATAAACTATCAGCTCTAATTAAACAAGAATTGTACTCCCTCGATTTTCTAAAACTCTTCTTACTTACAATTGAAGGCATCCCGATAATTTTTGTTTGCATATGTTTTTTCATTAGTCATTTTACAAATAAAATATTTTGTAACTAGTTATTTTGTAAATTTTTTGTGTTGTTTTTAAATATATAAATTTTACTTTTTATTTATATACTAGTTTTTAAATAAAATTACTTTTAAAAAAATGAAATTTTGAACGTAAAAACAAAATAGGATGGGTTTAAAAAACAGAGAGAGTAATGTATATTATAAAAATAGTTTTATTAGATTTATCTTGTAGAGATCTTTCAAAATTTATATCGTTGTACTAATATGCAAAACAGATAGATACTAATTAAAACTCAAAATCTATTTATGTTGACCCGAAAGACCGAAAGTAGTACGGAGTATATTTGTATTGTTTTAAAAATTAAGAGTAAATTCCATAATTGGTCCTTTATAACAGGATGGTTTCCATATTTAGTCATCTGTTATCAAATATTACCCCCGTAGTCCTTTTTTATGAGTGTCTTTCCACAAATGGTCCTTTTTTTTTATCTTCTGTCATGTTGGTGTTAATTTTAAGGCTAAAAATATAATTTGACATCAACATTATGTCTAGTGACGTGTTCTGATATTGGTTAAGTTGATAACACAAAAATAATGACTATGATTGTGGGCTAGGATTCCGACGAAAGACCACATTTATAGACTATGGTTGTAGTAGAAAGCAAACGACGCAATCGGAACAGCCTTTGGAATTGTGTATGACAAAAAAGATATACGGAGTATTATCATTGTGAAATTATATTTTTAGCCTTCAAATTAACACCAACATGATAAAAAATCAAAAAAAAGAACTATCTGTGGAAAGATACCCATAAAAAAAGGACCACTAGTAATATTTGATAATAGGGAACTAAATAGGGAAACCCCTGTTATAAAGGACCAATTATGGAATTTACCCAAAAAAATTAAAATAGGCCCAAATGGTTTTACTATTTCAGTGCTTCCACCGTTATCAGTTATCACGCTTCAGCGCTGCACCCAATCCTGCGATCCCCGTCGTCCTTCATCTGGTCAGACGACCATCGCCGCTTCGTTCGCGGAGTTGCAGGTCTGCATCTTACTATCTTCGATCAATTAACGGGATTTTTTTTATATTCAAAATTGAGAAGTTATTTAATTACTGTGTGATGTGAATTCGGTTGTTTGATTTAGAAGCATCGCGAAATTGCGATCGGAAAGCATATCTATCTCATCATCTTCGGGGTTTCTTCTCTTTGGAAACGGAGAGTGTGAGAGAGCGATCCCGAGCAGCGTCGATTGCCGGTACAATGAGCTCTGGCGGTTTCCGGTACACATAAGCAACGACGAACAATCCACGCACTCGGAACCATCGAAGCAGGTCATGCGACAATTTCCCACGGTATTCGAACTTCAAACCCTAGATTTTTCTATTGTTAAAACCTTTGATTTAATTGATGAGCTTTGTTTATCATTCATTGCTGATGCATTTTCGAATACTGTTGAAAAAATTTTGTGATGTGTTCGATTAATTTGTAAACTTCTGTTTGGATGTGTATTCTTTGTATTGGAAAATGTGAAAGAAATTGGAATGAATTTATAAATTTGAAATAGAAATTGTTACTTACTTTGAAAGAGTAGTTTTTTTATTCTCTGTCATGGAATTGAAAGTGAAAAATAGATATTATGATTGATATTAAGTTATTTTAATTGCTTTAGTAAATCTATGAAAGGAAATTAAAAACATAACAAAGAAGCTGGGTTGAGATACGATTAATTGATTTCTTCATTAATTAGTTTGATTTCTTGTTTGATTTTCTGTATTGACGATTGAGTTTCAAAAACTCAGTGACGTTTTTTCTTCATGCTTTTTTGAGTAAATTAAAAATTTCAGTGATATCATCATCGAATTGCTGAATATAGTTTTGCTGCGTTAAGATTTAAAGCTATAGATTCATTCTGGAGAATTGGTAGGTACCATAGTTTTTTTTTGTTTAATTTAGAGGTTGAATGATGTTTTGTTGATTGTTTGGAAATTTGGAAGTCATGAGACTACTCAATTAACTCAAACTGTACTCAAAGTTTAAATATTTGTGGTGAAGGAATTTCTTTCATCTCATCCAAGGCCCCTGAATCCTCTGGACCGGCCCTAGTGAGAGGGCGAACTCTTAGTCCAAATCCCATCCAAATCGCCGCTGGAAAACCGCCAGCCCACCGCCGCCTCTGCGTCAATCTACCTGTAGAGAAGCACATGGGTTCGCCGGAGGCCAATACAACGGATGACATCTTTGATTCATCTCTGAACCTTGAGGAGATCCATTACAAAGAAGGTCATTCTGATGGCTACGCCGAAGGCCTGTCCTCCGGCGTGGAGGAAGGCCGCCAGGTTGGCCTGAAAACCGGGTTCGAAACCGGCTTAGAACTGGGCTTCTACAGAGGCTGCATTGATGTCTGGAACTCTGCGATTCGACTGGACCCGGCGTGTTTCTCGTCTCGCGTGCAGAAGAATGTGAAACAGATGGATGAATTGCTCAGGAAGTACCCTTTATTGGATCCTGAAAACGAATCAGTTTCAGGTGTGATGGAGTCTTTGCGGATCAAGTTCCGAGCTGTCTGTGCCACTCTCAAGGTGAAGTTGGAGCTCGACGGTTGTGGTCCCAGGGCTTCAGATCCTCGGGAAACTGGATTTTGATGGGGGGTATGTTTCGTTATTAAAGCATGATACACTATAGAGAATGCACATTGTTACTTTGGATGCTTTTGTAGTTACTAATTGCTTGTTTAATCAAACAATAGTTTGTGGTTTTGCTGTTTATTTTCAAGAAGATTGGTTCTTGATTTTTGTGGAAGGCTTGTTTGGGAACATTATCTTCGATTAGCGTTAGCGTTTTGGATAAAATTTTAATAATGTAGGTTAATTCTGAAAACGCTAACGCTAAAGGCTACCGTGGGATAACCTTTTCAAAACGCTAAGGCCTCGTTTGGTACACGGAATTCAAACTATGGAATTGGAATTGAGGACTTCAATTCCAATTCTCGTGTTTGGTAGCACAAAAATTATGTGGATTTAGAATTGGTAATGCAAAAAATGAATTGGAATTGGTGAATTCAATTCTATGGAATTGAATCTCATGGAATTTTAATTCCAATTCAATTCCAATTTCATCAATTCTGTGTACCAAACGGACCCTAATGCTAATCTCTAATGTTGATGCCAAACGAAGCCGAACTCAGCATCAAAGCACTCGGTGTGTTATTGGTGATGATGCATCAGTAGATTGTAATGGCATTTACAGTTGATGGATTAAGGCTACTTCATCAAAGACACTCCTTCAATCCCAAATGACATCTCTATCCAGGGGCGGAGCCAGTAAGGAGCAACTGACGGCAATTGCACCAACTGGAATTTTTGGCTAAACCTAAAACGACGTCGTTTTAGGGGTTGGACATAAAAAATCAGCTGCCAAATACTCCTCTTCCCGCTCTTTGTTTCTCCACCCCCATATATCCTATCCTTAAATCTCAAATCTCAATTCTCCCTTTCAATTTGTGTTTTTTTAGCATCTACCAATCCATAATCTGCGATTAATATCTCAATCTCCATCGGAAATTAATCTGCAATTCAATCTCCTAGGGCGATTTATCTTCAATTTGTAATTTCAGACACCGGCGGGCAACGAAGTGACGGACCTATTCAGTCGGTGGTCCGGTAGTGCTGAGACGGCGGAGGGGCGGTTGGCAATTGGTTCGTCACTCTTCAAGTCCTCAATTTTACCAGGTTTTATCTTATTTTTAAAAATTAAAAAGATGGGTTACTGATTTTTTTTATTTTTCTTATTATTTTATTCAAAAAGATGATTTATGTTTGATATATTCTGAGAAATTAGCAAAAACAGAATGTGTGGATTGTTGAGGACATCACAAAGATGGTAACTTTTTTTCGGAGTGTAGATTGATTTTAGTAAAAAAAATGTTGAAACTCTTCACAGAGTGGTAAAAAGAAATTATGCAATTTTGGTATTTTAGCTGTCCTTTTCCTTGCCTCTTTTGTGTAGTGTAGCTCCTTCAGTAACATATTCTTCTATGTAGAATCTGAATTATTCTTTTGGCTTTTCTTGTGTAGATAAATTAGTGGATAAAAATCATGTCTTTTGATTGTTTTTTAGGTTGTCTCTTGTTCTTGACATGGGATTAGCTTCTCTGCTTAATCTAGATTTTGAGCTTCATTACAATTTGACAGTATAAATAGATCCTTTCTGTCAAAATGCTTGGTAAATTGTTTGTTCATTCATGCTAACAATTTAATAGTGTACATTAATTTATTTGTCCTTAATTTTTTCTCGCCCCCACTCTATGAATTTCCTGGCTCCGCCCCTGTCTCTATCCCACACTTGAAAATTTGTGTTTGGACTTTGGAGCTGTCTTTGAATTTTTTTTAATGTGTTTGGAGTTTATTTGAATTCTTTATTAATTACAGAGTAATAAAAAAACATTATAATATTTAATGAAGGAAAAAAGATAAAATGGATTCATTGTACAGTAATTTGTTCTTTTTGCTCTCTATTCATTAGGGATGGTCTAAGAAACGAATTGGACTAGAGTATAAGGTTTCTTTGGGAACGGCCTTTTTTAATCGGTGTTAGCGTTTTGGATAAAATTTTAATTGTTTAGATTAATTTTAAAACGATAATGCTAAATATTATCATCACATAGTTTGTTTAAAATGTTAATGCTGACCTCTAATAATGATGCCAAATAGGACCTAATCATTTTTGGAACGGCTATTTAGTACTCCTTGTGAAATGGCACAAAGTATGTCCGGCTATTTAGTACTAATAGCACAGTTATTAGTAAAGTGATATTCATTGGTCATGGACTTATGGTTGATCAAAAAGCAAGAAATGCAGTTTGGATCATGAATTTTTTTAAAAAAGACCCATTGAATTGGTGTAAGATTGTTAAATTAGTTTAATTGCAATTGGAGGAGGAAGGAGAGGGTGCGTGAGTGCGTAAGGGACAGGCGTGGTATGGAAAAGCAAAGTATTCTTAGTTTGATTATTTATTTGATTTTTCACGATTTTTGATGCATCATTGTAATACGAAGTAATGAATAAAAAATCTTGTAATTACATAAATATTTTCTCCATCACTAAAAATCTTTCTCATATTGATTTTCATAGACTCTTCGAGGAATATTTTTCATTTAATTTGCCCAAATTATCCTTGGATGTGAAAAAGTAAAAGTGTGATAAATAGATAATTAGTAAATAGATACATATGGTAATAACTTGTAGGGATAAGAATGATTGTTAAATAGAAAGTGCAATTTTTTTAACGACAAGTAAGAAGTATAAATAAAAGGAAAAAACATCGAAGAATACAAACATACAATGTCACATTATTACAGTTAAAATTTATATTTTGTGACTAAAAATATAGAGATTCTATTTTGATATTGTCTCAATATTTTAATTTTATTTTGAGTAATTTAGTGAAAATATTTTGTGCTACAAAGAGAATACTATATTAGGAAGTTATTAATTAATAATTATATTTCTTTAAATTTAAATAATTTTTTTTGTTTGACGAAAGAAAAAAAATAAAAGGCTGCTAAAATAATTTGGCAGGGAGGTGGTGCTATTCTTCGCCGGATTTTAGTCCCGCCGATCAAAACTGTTGCGCCGCCGGTGCAGAAACTCATAGAACGCCATCGATGTCCATTCTCCAATTATCGTCCCCATCCTCGTTTTGCAATGGCCCCAAGTTCCCATTCCCTAAATCCTCGTCATATCCTTCGCCGGCTAAATCTCTGCGCATAACATGCGCAAGCAGGACCAAAAGAGTGGGGAAATTGAGGTACCCATCAGAGAAAAAGAAGCTAAAGCTTCAGCAGAAGCCTCAATCTGACTCGATAAACAAGTTTGAAGGATTTTGGAGGCTTTCCAATCTCGGCGTCTCCGCTCTTGCTGACCCGGGCAAAGATTTTCTGGACGTTTCTGATGCTTTGCTTCAAGAAATCGCCAAAGTTCTTGAAATTCCGGTAATGTTTTAGCTTGTTGTGAGCTGTGATCTCCATTGGGTTCTTACTTTTGAGTGATTTCTTCTTTTTTTGCCCGAAGTTTTATCCAATTTCAATCCAATGACATTGCTTACTCTGCAGGTTGCTTCTATGTTGCCGCCAGAAGCCTTTACGGTTGTTAGAAAATCTTTTGATGCCCGGAAGGTTTGTTATATGCGAAGCTTCCTGCAAATTGTTGTTTCCCATTGTTATGGTTTCGCATATAAAATGCTCTTTTTTTTTCTTTTTGCATTTCTGATGAAACTATTTGAGCATTAAAAGAATAAATATTCATGGAACATGTTAAACTCTCGAATGCGTAAAGTTAAATCTCTGTCTGTATAACTACAAAAGTTTCAATCTTTCATTCTTTGTCATTTGGTCAGCATCGATTTAGTGCTGTGCTTGTTTTATCTTCTATGATGTTCTCCAACATTTTATTAAAGGGAAACCTGTATGTTCACTAACTAAGTAGTTTGTGGATTTATTTGCAGTCACAGAAGGAGCCAAAATTTGTATACACTGTGGATGTGGATGCCAACAAACTTGTAAGCATAGAGCCTCGTACATGGGACTTCATCTCCAAGTTGGAACCCAAAGCTGGGATTGTGGAGCATATTCTTGACAACAGAATTTCTGGAGATGTAACAAGCATGGCACACTCTTGGAGGCTGCCCAGTGTTAGAAAACCAAAAATTGCTGTTGTGGGTAGTGGACCTGCTGGCTTGTTTGCTTCCCTGGTGCTTGCTGAATTTGGTGCTGATGTCACGCTACTTGAAAGAGGGAAACCAGTGGAGCAGAGGGGACGTGACATTGGTGCTTTGGTAGTTCGGAGGATGTTAGAAGAAGAAAGCAATTTTTGCTTTGGGGAGGTTATATCTAGAAACTATACCTTAAATATACTGGATTTTTATGCTTGATCAAGAAGAACTTGAATTTAATTTTCATTGTTTATTTATTAAGGACTTATGGCTGACAGGGTGGTGCAGGTACTTGGAGTGATGGGAAGCTAGTTACTCGAATTGGAAGGAACAGTAGTGCTGTTTTAGCAGTAAGTGGCTGCTAAAACACACACACAAAAATCTCGCACTGGTTCACTGGTTGTTTTGGTGATCTCTATTTATCCTGGATGCTGAGTACTTGAATTTCAGGTTTTGAAGACATTGGTCTTGTTTGGAGCTCCAAAGAAAATTTTGGTTGATGGAAAGCCTCATCTGGGAACTGACAAGTTGGTTCCACTACTTCAAAACTTTAGGTGTCACCTACAAGAACTGGGTGTGAGTTTTTGTTTCTGCTTGTTGTTCCTCCCATTCTCCCTGTGAAAAGGGGCTGCTTGGAATCTGGGAAAAATTAGGAAAAGAAAATAGAGGAGAAATTTGGAAAATAAAAAATATAAAAAATGGTTCAATAGATCAATTTATATACTCCGTGTTTCTTTGATATAACTAAGAATTATACATATCTGTAATTTTTTAATCCGTTTTGATCAAATTTGATTTTACTTTTTGTTTTCATGTGAAAAGTGAAAACCGTATGCCGTGGAGTATAAAACACTGTTCTCTTTAACATCTTCCCCCCCCTAAAATTTCCCTACCACTGTCCGTGTTACAATAATGGATGCGTGGTCATTTTATTAGTGATGTCTCATTGTGAATGAAATTTATGCTTAGGTTACAATCAAGTTTGGAACAAGGGTTGATGATCTACTTGTAGAGAATGGGTTTGTGGTGGGAGTGAAGGTATCTAATTCAGGAGATCCCCAACAATCCATCAGCGATAATTTGGGTTATGATGCAGTGGTTTTGGCAGTTGGGCATTCTGCTCGTGATACATATGAAATGCTACTTTCCCATAATGTCAACCTTACCCAAAAAGATTTCTCTGTGAGTTATTTCATCAGCATTCGACACATAACTTGTTACTGTTAGATGCATAAGTTTTAAATCTAATGCGAACCACAGGTTGGATTACGTGTGGAGCATCCTCAAGAGTTAATTAACACCATACAGGTATGTGGTGAACACAACATGCTGACCTGGGTTTTGTTCCTATACTCATTGAGTATGTACAGAAAAACTTTTTTGTTTATTTTGATGTGAAAATTTTAGCTCTTTTGCAAATCTGCAGTATTCCGAATTAGCCAAAGAGGTCAAAAGTGGGCGTGGGAGAGTTCCAGTTGCTGATTACAAAGTCGTGGATTATCTAAATACATGCAGCTTGGTTTCTCCTTCAGAATGTAGACCAATCAAGCGTAGCTGTTACTCATTTTGTATGTGTCCTGGTGGCCAGGTATAGCTAATGCAGTCATTATTATTTGTGAATTGGGTTTTTCTATGAGCATTGGTTTAGTTTCATTTTCATGAGAACATAACGCTGAGTTTTGTGCAGATGATCTTTGTCACTTGGCATCTCTTAGCATGAACGTTCTAAGAAGCTCTAGCCACTCTAGTGGCGGTTGACTGATCTCATCCCATGTTGCGGCCTGAGCAGGGCCACGAAACCACAAAACCGCACCATAAAAGCACTGTTTTTGGCTTAAAATTTTGTTAAACTGCATTTTGTGGTGCAGTTTTTGATAGTTACACGTGGTTTAAAACGAAAACGCCCCATTAGCTTCATAAAAAAAAATTCTCCCATTTCACTCTTCCATATTAAGTAATACAGACTACAGTGTATGTCATAACTTCAATTATTATTTTAGTAATGTTATTCATAGTTTATATATTCCACTAGAATACCTTAGATTTTCTTTGGAGTTTGAACCTCATATACTTATTTAATTCAAGTTTTTAGTTACAATTTACCATTTTTTATATCTTAAAAGTTTTGAATGCTTAAATTGAAATCAAGTTAAAATTAAAATAAGTTGTTAAAGTTCAAAAATTAAAATTTGCAAAGTCAACTGAAAAACAAAAAAAAAGCTAAGTTTTTTAAAGCCCAAACTGCTAGATTAGTTTTTCTTTTCACTCCATGTAATGTTTGCAGTATGTGATTTCAGATACTTATTTTAAGTGGGCAAACGTTGTACTTACTAACAATTTGGCAGGTTGTTCTCACAAGTACAAATCCATCAGAATTATGTATCAACGGAATGTCATTTTCTAGAAGATCATCTAAGTGGGCTAATGCTGCACTTGTAGTCACTGTTTCACCAAAGGATTTTTCTGCTTTAAGTTTAAATGGACCCCTTGCTGGTGTTCAGTTTCAGGTCTCTTATTATTTAGTGATTTGACACTTATTCATTTATTTAGACCATTTTGGATCCTTTTTTTCATTCGAGATAGTGGAGCTCTTTATTTCTGTAGGTTTCACGCATCATGCATCATATTGTTTGTTGCCCAAACATAAAAAAATATACAATTGTTTTTATGGGTGAAAATGACGACTTTCAGAGAATATTTGAACAAAGGGCAGCTCTGATGGGTGGGGGAAGTTTTGTTGTACCTGTACAAACAGTGACTGATTTTCTTGGTAACAAATCATCAGGTCGAGTCTTTTATATATTCCATTAGTTTTTCTGTATCAATTTAAAGTTATTTTAGACATACCGACCTTAGCATTTGTTTGCAGTAGCTTCACTACCATCATCAAGTTACCGTTTGGGAGTGAAAGCAGCAAATCTTCATGAATTATTCCCCAGCCATATAACTGAAGCTCTGCAAAAGTCAATTTTAAAGTTTGATAATGAGGTCTTAGTCTATTCTCACCATTTCCCTACCTTTCTTTCCATTTAGAATTGAAGTTCCAATATTCTTTATCTTACTTTTTTTGTTATGCTTTCCCTGAATTTGGAGCTCAGCTACCAGGGTTTATATCCAGCAGTGCCCTTCTTCACGGAGTTGAGGTACACATATTTATGTTACAGTTTTTTTCTTCTTAAAATTCATTTTATCTTTCAAAGAAAGTGGGAGTGATTGAACTCAAGATTCTGTAATATAAGGTCACTCAAGGTTGTCAGCATAATTATTGCTGGCTTTCTTTGTTTCTCGCTTCAGACAAGAACGAGTTCTCCTGTTCAAATCTCCCGGACAGTACATACTTTCGAGAGTACCTCTATGAAAGGGCTGTATCCTGTGGGGGAGGGTGCAGGCTATGCAGGTGGGATAGTGAGTGCAGCTGTTGATGGTATGCAAGCTGGTTTTGCTCTGGCAAAGAGTTTGGGTCTTTTTGAGGGCGACCTAGACTCAATTTTGGGAAAGGGGCACAATAGTGATGGAGTTGGAAAGTACTGAAATTTATGGAGGATCTCTAAAGTGCGACCAGTTCAAGGCTTTTACATATGAAGATGTCTCGGGTATCTTTTAACCTTGCTCGATTAGTTCTCCTCGTTTTTCTTAATATCATATGTTGGTGTTTGGTTTATCTGAATGTAATAATCGTAAGTGTAATGCAAGATTTCAACAAGATGAGTTTTTGGTTCCTTCAAAATTCTTTGGTACTCTGAGATTCCATGAAATGTGAATGAAAAACTTGAGAATTTGGAGATTCTCTGAATGCCAGATTCCTGAAATTGCAGGAATCCAAACGATTCACGCACCGTATAATTGTGTGCGCTCTTTTCTACTCCCGGCTCTCAGTAAATCAATTCCCCAATGATAAATTTACAACCAGCACACTGTTCCAAACAATGCCTTAAGACATCCAAAATTTAGTACAACTTCTACACTAATACACTAATAGACAAACAAACAAAAACCTTTACACATTCAAAACAACAACTTTCAATCAAACCTTTTCTTGAACACTAAATGCTGATGCATTTCTCCAAATTAGAATGAATCACCAGAAAGTCAAACATGGAAGGCGTTTCAGCAGTTGATTCCACATTGCTTGACATCGGGCCCCTTGGTCTTAAGCACGAAAGGGTCAATTCGAACCCAAAGTAAGCTGAAGATGGAAGCCAATAAAACTGACCATATGACCACAATGGTTGGTGTCCTGTTCTGCCGTCCCATAAGACCTTTCAGGAACGGGTACAAGTGTACAATAACCCAAAAGGCAAAGAATAGTTTACCAAACAGGGGACCCCATGAGTCATAACCGTTGTTTATGGCATCCGAGATTCCAGCCACTACCCCTACTATGTTGATTATCAGAATGGTTGTCGGCGGGATTAAGAGTGTTGTCCATTTAATGGCGTATAGCTCTCCGAATTCCTCATCATCTGTTGCCTTTGAAGTGACTGTGAAATTTGTGTCTATTCCCGCCAAAACCTTCAAGAGGCCTTGGATAACTGCAAAGAGGTGAGCTGATACTCCTCCGATGACCCAGAATTGCTCGTTTCTCCACCATTCTTCAATGCTAACTCCACTCCATCTCAGCTCAAGAATGCCCGTTGCAAATATTGAGAGGAAGAGAGCTATGAAGAATAGACTTGCAAGTGTGCTTATCTGGACATTTCAATATATATAAAAGTTACTACTTTTGATTCAACATTTCATTTACTTATCAAATATTTTAAATGAGACTACACAATCAGCTTAGGTCATACAAACATGCAAACAATGGATGATTAACCATTTACCAAACATAGCTGTAGAGTAACAATGTAGAAAGTGTGAAGTTCTATAACAATGTTTCAAGCTGTTTTTACCTCAGGCATTATGAATTTTCCGGTGAGCAAGCAGATAGCAGGAAGAGTACAGTAGGCAAGGAGAGGAATGGAAGTGAATGGATAGACAGTTGTGTTAACATATGAAAATCTCTCAAGAAACTTGAGCTTTCCTCCCTTGTAGCCATACCAAACTGGGCTGTGTCGGCTGAAAAAGATCTCAACCGAACCAAGTGCCCAACGAAGCACTTGGTTTAGACGGTCTGATAGATTGATGGGAGCAGAACCTTTGAATGCAGCCAGCTTTGGCATGCAATAGACTGACCTCCAGCCCCGACAATGCATCTTGAATCCGGTCAAGATATCCTCTGTGATCGAGCCATAAATCCATCCTATCTGTATTTTTAGCAGCCATTATAAATACATTCCTAAGACAAACTTTAGGCCTTATTTGGTCGATTTGTTTTTACATTTAGATGGTTGAAAAGATAATAAAGATGAAAATTGATAATGAAACACATTACTCTGTATATATCTAGACATATACCAATAGTTATTTTATAGTTTCCTCAAAATCACTTTTCTTCCCTATCAAAACACTTGTTCTTTGAAAACAAGTCATCTTGAACAAATAGAAATAGAACAGTAAAACCAAATCTAACAGCTTCTCCTCTCCAGAACCCCCTACCAAACAATCCCTAAGGTTACTGTTATTTCTATAGAAGGTTTGAATAGGCTGTTTTTTTTACCTCAGTTCCCCATTCTGTCTTGTCTTCATAGCCGCAGCTGATCACATGAATGGCTTCCTTGAGTAAAGCAGCTGGGCTTGATGAAGGTGGTACACCACCATCAACCATCAAAGTTGAGGTCACAAAGCTTGCCGATTGCCCAAATATCTTCTCAAAGTTCATCTCTGACATTAGTACCTCTTTGTCACCATTCAATCCTGAGCATGAAGCCATGAACACTACTTAGGGATAAAGCTCTGCTGTTTACAGGAAAAATAATTTCTGATTTCCCTGTGTGTTTGAAAACATTTTCCTGAAACTGTTTTTATGTTTTCTATATATACATGTCGAACATTATATTATGCATAGACCAACTTATTTTCCAAGAAGCATTTTTCCAGAACATTTTCTGTGCAAAGCATTTGCCACATCAAGTTGTTTTCCTTGAACAAGCCGGATTTAAGATTCCAATTCAAACAACTTATCAAGAATTGATAAAATAAATCAAGAACCTTCAACGTTTGCAGCATCTCCATGAGTAGTATACTTCTCAAGCTTTCTCCTACGACCAAAACATGGGCAGCAGTCACAAGTTACCATTTTTGGTCGCTTAGCATGCTGTGGTGGATCATATCCATACAAAGCTTGTCTTCTGAAGACACACCCCGTCCCAACATATACAGGGCCTTGTATTCCATCAAGGCCTTTCATGTTAATCTGACCATGAACCATAAACAGTTATGCTATGCCTCGAATGTGGAAATTCTAGGGAAACAAAAAATGCTACTGAATTTTTTTAGGCTTTACCATAAAAAATACAAGGAAAAATAAATTCAACTTTTGAATTTTAGTTTGTGTGTGTGTGTGTGTTTATGTTTATTAGTCTTCACATAATAGATATATATATATATACATATATATATAATTATATAAGTAAGAATTTAGACAAGTATCTAAAACTGTTCTATTCAGTTTGAAATGACCCCCCCTCCTCCCGCCCACACACCCCACCCAAAAAGAAGAAAACTTTGCTTACAATTTTTTGCTCTATATTCCTCGATTATTTCTTTCATTTGCATTTTATGGGTTCTTAACAGAATCTCGGGGGAATAGGAAAAAAACAATATAATCAAATTGCTTCTCTTACATCAAAGAAGACTGTGTTTCTGTTTGCATATCTGTCGTGCCTGTCTATACCATCAAATCTTTGAGGAAACTGGACATAGCAGATTTTCCTCCCAGATGTGGGGTCCATCAAGAAACACATGGCTTCTCTCACAGCTTTGCTGTTGTTTATATAATGGTCACAGTCCAAGTTAAGCATTAATGGGGCATTGGTAAGAACTCCCGAGACTCGAACCTGCAAAGATTTTATGCAGCTTGAAGATGTTTTGTATTTTTTCTTCAGTGAAAAAAAATTATATGCTTGTACCAGGGAATTCATAGCACCGGCTTTCTTGTGATGTTGGAAACCTGGTCTCTTCTCACGAGATACATAAACTAAGCGGGGCAATTCGTTTCCTTCAACATCAGTTCCTCCATTGTGACCAAGAAACACTTGGATCATTCCAGGATGGTCCTTGGTATTGTTCCCTGGCCATGGCGTTCTATCTTTCATGATCCATCCTCCCTCGGGGACTTTGGCCGCTTTGGCCACCATTGCATTGATTCTAATCTTGAACTCCTCATACTCTCTCTATCACAGCAGAAGAAGAAAAAGAATAATAAAAAATTAGTTCATGATACAAAAAACCGTCTTTCAAACATAACTTGTTTTTTTGTGTTGGGATCTCAAACTTAACCCTAACTTTGCATCACTTTGATTTTGTCAAAGTTGGTAACTTTTTTTAGGCATTTTGCAAAATGTCACATACATTACACATACTATTGGAGTTTGCTGGACAGTGGACACTATGGTTTAAGATATCTTCCCTTGCACCTTTTATGTAAGATTTGCATTGACACTTGACACCTTTATACTTAAGTATATGGGACAAGTTAAGATTTCAAATGAAAATATACCTTCATTGCACGTCTGTCTTTGACAAATGCAGGCTGAACTTTATACTTGAGAAAATCAATTTTCTGAGAAAAATACACTTCTGGGGCTCGAGGCTCTATGTCAAACTTTTTGCAGAAAGGGACCCATTTTCGGGAGAACTCTGCAGTCTCTGAGAGCGATTCGAATGTGCAGTTAGAAGCTCCATCGTCAGATATATAACATGAGATTTTGTCAACTGGGTAGTCCATTGCTAGTATAGAGAGTACTGTATTAGCTGTAACAAGAGGAGGTTCCTTAAAGGGATCCACCGTACTCACAAATACATCAACAGGGGCTAACATGTTTGGCTCTCCTTCCCTCTCGTACCTACATATTGAGCCAGATCATATGGTTCCATTGTCAAAACCCAGTTTGAAATGTTGAGTCCCACATCGAAGTTCTAAAGAGACAAATACACAAGGTACTGGATCAAACAAGCTGTTTGATTAGATTTGGTCGAGTGACCTTGTCCTAGTTATAAGTTCTATCGTAGATGGGTGTAAGTCGTGTAGCTTTAAAATTATTTACCTGAAAGAGAGGCGATCAAGGTAAGTTTCACGGTCAATGGGGAACCATTTGGGGAATTGATCAAGAACCCATGAGAAGGCAAACCAGATCTCACAAATGATGGAGGTTAGCCAGAGGCCAATGGCGTCATGGACCGGGTTGAGGATTCTGTAACGGAGGAAGACAGCTACAATCACAAGCCTTACGACAATCACCATACGGTAAGGGTTGATTTTGCTTGATGCAATTGGTACCTTCCTTGATAATGGCTGTCTTGCTTCATCCACTCTGCAAATATTTCATAAAAAATCATATCTAAAGATTGAGACCATCTAATTAGGAGAAGTGTTTTATGAACAAAAAAGTGATTACTTTGCAGTGAGAGTTATTACTTATTAGTGAAAGTGTTTCTATTATTTGACATCTCTTTTAACCAAATAAAGTGACTAGCCAAATGAGATTGTTATTCTCTTGAAGAAGTGATTCATACTAACATAGCCATTTCAGGGTCAGCAAAGTCATCATGTTCATTTCCCAAATTTCCTTGTTTTTGCATTTTCCAGTCATCCATTCTTTCTTCCCAAATTGTATTTTCTGTGTGCTCCAATACTGGATAGGGATGGATTCTTTTCTGAAGAGTTGATCCCACCAATCCCATCTTCTGCTCTCCATTGGCATGACTCAAGACTGGGAATTCTCCGCTCACCTGCATCCATATGCACAAGGTGTAAATTTCTTGGATTTTACATCAACATAACAAGATCCCTCAATTGATTTGTACTCCAGTTGTTACCGGACGTGAACGAATGCCAGAAATGACAGGTGGGTACTGGGAAGCAGCATCTTCAACTTCTGTTCCTCTTCCATAGCTCATCTTACCATGGAGTATGGTTTCCAATGTGTATCTGTTCTTATTTCTCTCATCGTCAATCTTAAATTCATATTCAATATCATCATCATCTTCCTCGTCATCATCTCCCTCAACCCTCGGGCTCCCTTTTGTGTGTCAATCAAAACAGTAAATACACTACGCGTCATCGTAACACACTAGAAAAACTATCCACATTGATTAAATATAAAGGCACAAACTAAAATGTAGAGTTTAATCTAGTTACCTTTGAGACGTTTGTATCTGGTTTTGCATTGAGGGCAATGTTGGGTTCCTTCTCTTCTCTCGTACTCATAGCACGGGCGACAAGCCGGAAATCCACACTCGTTGCAAGCCACAAAGAGATCTCCATCCACTGTAAGGCCTACTTCATCCCCACATATCTCACAAACTTGCCCACTCAAATCCTTCAATGTTTTTTGCTGCATATACAACACATATATATCTAATCATGTGTTGGTCTTGATTAAGCATATCATATTGTTAGTTGAGTTGGTTCATTGACATGATATCATAGATGTGACGAGTTCAAATCTCACTATTACCCAGTTTTTTTAAAAAAATAAAAAAATTGCCCAAAAGAGGACTAACAAGACGTTGAATTTCCTGATTTACTGGGAGTATGCAATTGCAGCGCAGGGTCTACTAGAGCGTGGAGGAGAAACGAACGTACCTCTTCGTGGCCTTGAATGACAACGAGCTCATTTCGATTATGAGAACCAGCGACAAGACCTGCATTGGCCTCCATGTACGGCGGCGGCGGCTGTTGGAACAGAAGACTGTGGGAAATGAATGGCTGAGTAGAGAAGGTTTCAGTTTGTATATGTATGTGTTTTATAAAGGAATGATCATTACAGTGCTGTTTTCTGTCTCTTTCATGTATGGTTGGCCATTGCCTTTGCTTCAAGATCCATTTTTTTTAAATTCACAGGTTATTTATTTCAAGCTTATGTTAGTTGAAGAAGATGATGGTTTGCAATATTAACTAGAAGTAGCAGTTTTGTTGGCTTGTGTGTGTTGCAATTCTTGTTTATTAGAGCATGAAATTGCCTATTCTTTGTGTTCAAGAAAATGGAGTGAAAACCATGTTTGAAGTCACCTTAAACTCCTTGAAGGAATGGAGTGGTTGGGGCAACATGATTGCCTTTTGTCCATTTATAACCACACCTCCCCAATAATATTTTTGTGGTCAATATTTTCTCTCATTTGTATCACTTTTAACTATCACGTAGTAATTTGGGACAAGTCTTATTTTTACCTTTTGTTGATTTAATTTTGTGAAATGGTGCATAATTAGTTCTATAAACCAAAGATCCATATTAAATTTGTCTTGAATCATGATTAATTGTTGATAAACTACTCGCGGGTGACGCGAGTTTTGTCGAAATAACTTTCAGGTCACTCTATTTTCAAAAAGACAATCGAGGTCCTTATATTTTGTTGTAATGACTGGGAGGGGACATTTCATCCAATACATCATCCGTAGGTGTTAATAAATGTATTTTTTTCCTATTTCTCCAATACCTTTTTTTCCTATTTTGCCATTACCTTGTTTTTTCTTTTTATAAATTTTTTTTATTTCATTTGTTTTAATATAATACAAATAATTTTGAATTTTTATACGATTTTATAGAAGAAATTCTAAAATAACACTTTAAAAAATAGTAACAAAATGAAAAAACAAAGAAATAAAAAAAGGAGCGATCTAATATTTATTACTACCTCCGTCCCATTTTATAGCGCCTGTTTCGGTTTACGATGTTTGACTGAAATTATTTTCAAACCATTTTATATGACAAATGGCATAGAATTAAAAAATAAAAATTACATATTAAAAAACTACATCAAAAGATCTACAAAATTAGTAGTGACAATAATATTTTATTTTATCAAATTGCTAACGAAAATAGAGAAAGAAAGTGAATGAAGTTTGACCCTGTGAATAGTAAACAGACATTATAATTTGGGACGGAGGGAGTACCTTAAAACATTTAGAAAAGAATAGGAAAAAA